GGCTGCGTCTGTCCCCCAGCCCCTCGGTCACCAAGGTGGCGGTGGCCCGTTCCTCTGGCTCGGGCCGCCTGCACCACTCCTCTGTGGTGGCCAGCAGCAGCCGCAACTCGTCCAGCGCCAGCGTGTCCAAGAAGCGCCGCCTGAACGACAACGACAGCGAGACCTCCAGCATGGTGGGCGGCACCGTCAGCAAGACCCGCATCAGCCAGCACGCCTCGGCCAGCGGGCGCATCACCGTGGACGAGGTGGACCTGGAGGGCAAGTTCATCCGCCTGAGCAACAAGGCTGACGAGGTGACGGGAAAAGATTTCATGTTTCAGTTAACGAGTTATTCAGAGAATAATCCTAATGTCTAATCCTAATCTGCAGCATCACTTCAGTAAAATCACTTCCTGTTTTCCTCTGCAGGATCAGCCTCTGAACAACTGGCAGGTGAGGAGACAGGTGGGCAGCGGCGCCCCCATCGTCTACAAGTTCCCCCACAAGTTCACCCTGAAGGCGGGGGCCAGCGTGACCGTACGTCCCCTCCCTGCAGTTTCAGACCTGCCAGGTCCAACCTGTGTCTGACCTGTCTCTGGTCTCCACCTCCTCAGGTCTGGGCTGCGTCCGGTGGAGGAACCCACAACCCCCCCACCGACCTGGTGTGGAAGACTCAGAGCTCCTGGGGGTCCGGTGACCTGCTGCAGACCACCCTGGTCAACGCCAGCGGAGAGGTTGGTCCTCACAGGTTTCACTTCATGTCCTTTAAGTTTGTGGAGCTGAGCGTTTGATGGTTGCTTTCAGGAGATGGCCACGAGGAAAGTGACGCGCACCCTGTTCCAGGACGAAGATGATGAAGTGGTAAACTCCTCTTCCTCATTTCACTCCATGATAAAACTGAAACAGCTTCAAGTTTCACATCTGAGTCTGAAAACCTCCAAAAACCACAATCCTGTCCCTTTTTTATAACTCTGTTTGTGTCATGACTGCTCAGTAAAACAGTTTTATTTTAGCAACTATTTGTGAATTAAGTGAGCAAAAACAAAAGTCTTAGTTCTGTTTAACTTTAAAATTATAAATATATTTTACATAAAGGAAAAAAATTCTGATGTATTTATGGTTGAAAATATTTTTAACAAATAAAAATTAGACCAAAGAAACTGAAGTTTTTACCATCAGCCTGTAAAACCCTGGAGGACAGAATCTGACAGAATTAGAAATAAAAGCAGAAATAAATAAATGGACTAATAGATAAATAAATAAATAAATAA